TCGGAAATTTTTTTTTGCCACAAAAGCAAAAAACCCCCCCCCCCCCCCCTTTTTATTTTAAAAAATGACAGTCTGCATCCTGCAGTGTGCGTCTGCAGCAGTGGGTGGATTCTCTGGCAAATTTAATTGCCACAGAATCACACAGGGCCCTGACTATTACCAAATGGTGTGTGATAAACAAACACAGAAACTTATTTTACTAAAGTATTCTCTTCATTTAGTACTTAAATGCACTGGAAGTGGCCTTTTGAAAAGCGCAGGTCATGGAACAACAATTGCTTTTGGAGTCTCTGGATCGCTTCATTGTTTATTTAACTTGACAGCAGGCTAGCTACAGTTTCACAATTTAGACCATTTATTTTTTTATGGTCAAAATGTTTGTACAGTAGCAAAATGGTTTAGTGTATCTCTGCGATGGAATAGTGCCTCATTCTGCAGCTGCTCTGGCTTTCTTTAGCTCAGGCTTCATGCAGAGTGGGTGCTTCAGGAGGCTGGCAAACTGTGAAATCAGCAGTGCTTTCCCTCTTGTGCCAGTACACTGCACCCGCAACGAGGAAGCCTTGGGAAGCTCATTTCGGTATGATTTTCTGGTGTTTCAGGTAGCCCTGAGGGGAGAAAGACATGTACTCCGTGATTTTTCGTGAAGAAAAGAGCATGCAGATGTGAAGGCAGAATTCAAAAGCCTCCTGAAGCAACGAAAAGGCAAAGCTATTCATGTGCTGGTGGTATTCTTCTTTGTGTTACACCAAAGTGCATCGGTGAATGTAAAATGTCAGCAAGTAATATGGACATTTCACATTTGTGGAGAGTTGGGGCGGTCAGTAATACACCTTATTTCAACCTTTGATAACTGCCTTCACCCTAACAGTTATGAGGGGTTCAGATATTTTTCATGGGCACTCAAGACATCTTTCTGAGACTAGTAAGTAATACATAAAAAGTCAAAAGGGAAAATAAGTTCCACCTCTGCTTCCTTTAGTGCTCTTTTACAGACATGCTAGGAGAGTATGGGAAGAAGAACAGGAAGAAGGATGAAAGGAAGGTTATTTCTAGATGCTTTATTGGAAAACATCTCATTTTCTCTCTATAGCACAAGATTTCATGTCCTAGAGAGAGACTTGATCTCCTCGCAAGACCTTTTGGTAAGGAACCAAGAACTTAAGCAACAGTGGACATGTTGAACAGAGAAGGACACATCTATGGTGAACCTTGCCTCTGATAGCTTCTCTGAAGTGAGCACAGGTCTTTTGGTGTCTCTGGGTATTACTTCTCTCTTCAGTGGCAAGAGGACAGATCAGCTCAAGTGGCAGCAAACAGTCACTGAGCTCACCAGGGCTCTCTGCAGACACAGGTCCCAGTGGTGGAGAATGAGTCCTCATGAAGAAGGCTGGGAGGTCTTGGTCCCATGGGTCCAGATAGCAGGTACCAGCTGGGCCCTAGGTAAATTTTCCCTTGTTGTAAAGTCACTATTTGTTCAGGCTGTGCATGCACGCAAGAAAGAAGGTTCTGATTTTTTTTTTTTTTGTTTTTCCCAACTAACACTATGTTTTTCTATCCTCTAAGAGCTCCATAAGATTGGCATTATCCTGTAGTAGTGTCACAGCCTGCAGTCGTTTAATGCTTCTTCTTGTGGGGCCAGGATTCCACGCCCAAGTGCATTTAGTAGGTCAGTACAGTAATTTTAAATGTCTTTCTTTCAGTCTTTTGCCATCTTCAATTATACCTTTCCACCCTACTATTTGTGTAATTTTCTTCTGTCTGAAGTCTCTTTACTGTTGTTCTCTATTGCACAGCATGACAAATTACCCATCAAGCCATATCTTTTCAGCCCAGAAATGCGCAGTAACACAGAGTCATGGCATTATCACATGTTGTGCACTTTATTTCCTCACAGTTCATTCAAGTGTGTCACTTTATTTTCCTGCTTCCTTTTGTCATCATGAAGATTAACCGTTGTATTCTCCCTAAACTTGAGGAACAATTAGAAATGCATTACATTGTAAGCTGGGCGCAACACCTCATACAATTCTGTATAACTTAATGCTTCCCCTGCGTGGCAAAGCTGTGTCCATGATTCTGAGTCTTTGCAGAAAGCCGGGGCTTTCATCCTTATTATACAGCTGAGTAACCTTGGCTGTGGGCAAGAGAATTATTTGTAGCCTCTGGCCACCAACCAAATTAACTGTGAGACACCATTCACTTTGACAGTGTGCACTGGATTCTCTTGGGAGTTATGAAACTCTCTGGGCCTAATGTGTACTGTGCCCACAGTCCCTCCTCTCCTCCCCCCGCCCCCCCTCCCCGCCCCGCTCTTTAATTCAAGATAAATACCAGTAATTGTGCAGCTTGTGCCGAGATATCTCCCAGGCATTGCAAGGATGTGTTAGAAAAATCAATCGGAACAGCTCAGAGCGTCGAGAGGGGCTGCGGCTGATGCGTACACAAAATGCATCCCTAGAAAGTGCGATTGGGATGACACGCAGAAAGTTTGTTGTTAAGGGCATTGTTTGGAGCCTGCGTGTCTCATTAGCATTCTGCAGGGAGCGGTGCAGGAGTTCAGGGGCCAGGAGCTCCCACAGGAGTCAATGGAAAGCTGTCCTGGTAACGTTTTCTGAGATGTGAGACGGGGCCTGCTCGGGCCCACACGCCCGGTTCCTCTTTACATGCTGTTTTGTAGATCGATAGGAAGAACAGTTGATTGAAAGGGATAAAAATCACTTCTGTAAGGCAAGCTAGAGGAATTAGCTGCAGTGCTGAGGGACATGGTGTAGGGGATGACTTTGTAGAGTAGGGTAGATGGTTGGACTCGATGATCCCAAGGGTCTCTTCCAACCTAGACGATTCTATGATTCTAGGACTTCAGGTAATCAGAAACAGCGCTAAGCCTGTGGGATGAAATTTGGTTGGAGATAACTTCGTAGACCTTCAGACTGTTGTTAACAAAATGCTGACTGTTTAATATTGTTAGGTCTTACGATTTTTTAAAATATTTATGCCTAGGAAAGTGTGAGAGCAGAATATAATAAGCTGAAAGTGTTGCGGTGCCAAGGGTGCCAGGAGCCACCTGCAGACTTGTGTTGGTGGTCCAGTAGCCTGAAGAGTGGCCAAGAGATGCCAAGAGGCTGGTCTTGAGATGTGCTGGAAGAGCTGAGCACTGCCGATAGCTGGTATAGGCACCAGTCCCGACTCTACATTAATCTAATCCTAAATAAAGTTTCTATCCCACCCTCTGCAACATTTTACCATCTACTTTGTAGTATGTACCAATTCCATGCCTATTCTGAGCTTTTAAATAGTCTCAGGTATCAATCAGCACCACACATCATTTATTTATGATTCCTTATTCAAGCGTATCTTTACAGGTTTAATGGCAAGTTTAGTACAGAAATAAAAATGCATGGAGAATTCAGAAAAAGACTGACTTTTGCACAAAAGACAAAATCTTTTTATTTCAACTTTTGCAACCTTTTGTGGAGGCTCTCAAATTTGGTTTAAATGGGACTGGAAGCCTTGGCTCTTGCAGTTTATTTGTCTCGTAATATTTTCTAATCCATTTACTTTAGAGTGTCAGGTAGGAGCTGGTAACAGAAAATCCAGCTCCAGTATGTTTCTCCACGTATCCCCCCTACAGAAATTTGTTACTGCAGCTGATGAACAGAATTACACAAGCTTTGTCACACAAATCACATTATAAAAGGTTCCAAAAAACTTGACAATGTTGACAGTTGTTTTCAGCAAATGGCTGCTTTGCTGTAGCACTGTCAATGTTGATGTCCTTGTGCACATGTAAAAGAGCAATGTGATTAAGGCAAGCTTGTCCATGCTAGATATGAGCCAAGTTTTCAATCTCCTCATGGCACTGAAAGATTGCTCAGCTGTTGCAGATAAGGCAAGAATAGCTAGCAGATTTCTGCCATTAAAAAAAAATAAATAAAAATCCCTCTCTTTGGGCATGCGTCTATAGGAATTTGTAACATCTGCTACTGACCTTAAGTTCTAGATAAGAGCAGCTCGTATTTGTAACTCAAATTGATATTACTTGGTTTAGATGATGTGCTTCCAAGGAGATTACTGAAGTATCTTTGTAAGAAGAGATTTGTCTAGACAGCAGTCTAAAGCATGATACACTTTTGCAAAGTGGTGCAGTAGTGAATTATCACCATTCCTCTAGTGCCACTTACCACTGCGATTGTGTCCACCTTATGTGGAATGTAATTTGGGCAAATAATCTATATTGTCTTTTGTTCTGAGGATATTTCATATTTAAATATGAAAATCGATGCATGTGCTTTACCTAGAACCTCGGTCATCTTTTCCATAGTTCTTTTTCTCACTATCAAGTAGATGAAAGGAGTGGAAAACTCAGTTCTTTAGCCAAAACTTTGTCAAGGGAAACGGGCCTGAGTTAACACAGTCATATCTTCCATCCCATTGACCCTGAATTCTTTATGTAAGATGTCAAAGCCATGGGACTCGGCAGATTTATTGTCATGTCTGGGTGTGGAAATAGTGGGAAGACGCCAATTTCAACAACATAATCTTATAACAAACCCAGGGGGATTTTCTCATATAAATTAGTGTAGACTCTGTTAGTCTAAACATACTCAGATTTCCACTTTGTATCTACCAAAAACTCTTTTGAAATGCCTGTGTTTCTGACAAGAGCCTGAGGGGCAGGAGGGTGTGGATTTCGGGTTGGCTCAGGGTGACCAGCTGTGAGTTTCCCCAAAACACGCGGTGCGATGCTCAGCACATCTTGGGATATCATAGATGGGTCTTTGCTTCTGGGGGATGATATGGGAAGATCTGTGAACTGAAACTGCCTATTAATAGCTTTTTTGACCAGCTTGTACAGTGGCAGAGTGTGGTACCAAAGGGCAGCATTCGATCGTTGTTAATTATGGAAACACCCTCTCTCTTCTGGCAACCCAGCGACGTGTTCCCAACCAAATTCTGGTTCTCCAACCAAATTCTCAACCAAGTGTCTTGGACAAAACTCTTTTTCACTATACAAGCACAGTTCACACCCAGAAAGTGGTTCACTTTCTTCACTGAATGAGGCAGGAGTCAGATAGAAAAAGGAGTTTATGATAAGGTGTTGAAAGAGCGATGGAGTAATACATGCAACCAAGGAGGGAAAGAGATAATTTAAAGATGTTCTCCTCACCTTGATTCTGGTGTTTCCCCGCATTTTAAGGCTTGATGCTATAATGTAAACATCTTTATAAAAAAAGATCTTATTACGGGAAATCACGGGCAGCCTTAGCTATGGGCAGCACCACCTGTGCTTCCTATAATTACCAGGTTTAAAATAAAAGTTATAGCAAGTGCAACACGCAGGGCTCCGCTCTTAACATAAACCAATATTAGTTTTACATTTTGCGTCATTAGGGTAAAATTAGGTGCTGCAATAAAAGCTACATTGCAGGGAGGCATGTTCATTTTTATGTCACCTTGTGAAATTCAAGGTGACAAGACACTTCTCCCCTCCCGCGGCCTCAGATGAAGATTCGTACCCCAATACTCTGGGCTCAGAGAGTAGCAGTTTGACTCATATTTCATTCTCGGGCTCTCCGGTCGAAAGCCTAAATCTCATCAATGCAGGGCTGTAATTATCAGCTAGTAAATCTTTCTACCAGTGGTTGTTCTTTAGGGTTGTGTTAAGAGTGGAGAAGGGTTCAATCCGGACATCTCGCCCAGGAAAAAAATTTTTTGGGCGGAACTGATGAATGGGGAGTGCTTCTCCCCATCTACTCCCTGCTTTTGTGTGTTCCTCCCCTACAGCTGCACGCACCAGCAGCCTGACTCCTCTTTGAAAACCTTAAGCCGCATTCTTCGGAACAGTTGCTTGGTGTTGGTCGGATTTCTCTGCAGCCCTTTTTTTATTTTTTTTTTTTTATTTTTTTTTTCCTTTCCATTTGGAGCCACCGAGGGCTGACACATAGTTTCCAAGAACTTCAGCGTGTCTTCTGTCTCCTGCCTCGTCTCCTGAATCCCAAATATTTCTCAAGTGGCTAGCAAAAGAATATCCGGATAATCTTCAGCCTGGTGATACAAGCTTCGAGAAGAAAGCCAGATGGCTTTGAAAATGAATTGTAAAGTAATTATTTCGTTTTATGTTGGCTTGGTGTCTTTAATACATGTGTACTTTCATTGTTACAGTTAGAGCATTCATGAGATCTGAAGAGACTATGAAATCCCGCTAATTCTAGCGCTAATAACAGCTTTTGTTGGTCAGACTGTAAATGATATTGCATGATGATTCATTTGAAAAAGCAATAATGCAGCTTGGAAAAAAAAAAAAAAAAGATGAGCTATAAACTGAAACAAAAGAGCTTTTTGCCTTTCCCCAAACAACACTTTTTCATTCCTGACCTAGGTTTACCTTTTTCCCTCTTCTTTAAGCATCCTTTACATTGCATACTAAAAATAAATACATTCAAGGTTCAAACTTTAAGTCCAAAATTACTGCCTTTCAGATCATTTATTATCCTTTCAGGCATCTAAAAAAATAGGTCAAAGCAACACTGCATAATTTGGAAAGTTAACAAAATGTTGTTTGTGGAACAAAAATGTAAGTAGATGTAATTACAATAACCTTTAAATGCATTGTTTTCCTTAGATTGTCAATTAAACATTTTAAAGAACATTTTAAAGTTTTACGAAACCTTTTTTTTTTTTTTTTCCTTGCCTTCTTCTCTCAGCAGGGTGAAGGGAAAAGAAAATAGCTTCGAGTGACACGACACGGAGCCCACCTGGGTCACTGTCACCCTTCCAGCAATATAAGTGAGCTTTGGCTCGTTTTGTTCTTGCTCAAAACATTGTGCCCAGATACCACCGGCAGGATGAGGACTGAAGATTGACACACAGCAACTGTAGACACAAACCTACAGTGTGACAAATAAGGCCCTGATCCTGTAAGTAGCCTTGTCCAGGCACAGCTCCCCTCCAGATCCCTGCTCTACCACAGTCAGCCTACTTTTTCCTTTATTTTTTTTTTTTTTCTCTCTTAGATTTCAGTATTATCACGGGCTTTAATTTTCCCAATACTCAAGGCCAAGCGGCTAGCAGACATAACATTGATAGCACTAGATAATGGTGAAATGCTGTGTAAAGGGAAAAAAAAGGAAATATTTATTTTCTGGCCATACCTGAAAACAGTGAAAGACAAAACATTCAAGAATTTCTATCCACAACTGATAACTGAAAGAACCAGATTTCCCTTCAGTTTTCTGTTTGCTGTACACTGGATAAGTTAGGTTTCCCGAGCTTCAGGACAAATCTCTTCACGTGTTTTGGCTGAACCCATGCCCTGCAATACAGAGCAAAGGACAGAGGTCCCTAGAGATGTCTGCTCAAGGGCTTGCTTAGGTGTTCCACCACTACACTTCGCTTCCACTGGCAGAAGCCACAGAGACGGTGGAAAAGGAGCTGGGCCACTGCTGGAATTTTGAGCCCAGTGGGTGGGATTCTTCCCACCGGATAAAGTTTTGAGTCTAAGCTTGTCGTTTAAGTTCCTTTTGTAGTTGCTGGCAAGAGATGGGCATCTCAGCACACTTCCTGTTCAGAACCAATGGACTCTACCTTAATGGTGCCCACCAGTCCTATGACTGTCCAGCAAGTCTAGATAGCTTGCTTCATGTCTCAAGGCAACACAATACCAGGCAGGAACCAGATGAGAAGGGTTCAAGCACTAGCCAGGATTATTTCTTGCTGCTGTCAATTCATAGAATCACAGAATGATTTGGTTTGGAAGGGACCTCAGAAGATCACCTAGTTCCAACCCCCCCTGCCCTGGGCAGGGACACCTCCCACCAGACCAGGTTGCTCAAAGGCCCATCCAGCCTGGCCTTGAACCCCTCCAGGGATGGGACATCCAGTATATATCCATCAGATATATACTACATGATTTAATCAAGACATATTTGTAAATCTATTTCCAGAAAATATTATTTCCACTCAGTCGGACACACCCCAGAAAAATGAGGCCAGAACAAGCACCTCCTGTGGACCAGAACATATATGTATTTGACCAGTATAGACTTAATAATTATTTAAAAAATTATTTAAAAAATGCTTGGGAAAGATGGATTTTTTCAGACTTGGCAGCTGTTAATTGAATTGGAGATCCAGTGTGGAAAAAAAGGAGGATCTGAGGATCTGAGGATCTTCCTTTGCACACTGCAGAAAACTTTTGCACACATTAAAGGAATATTTAAAACACTGATAAACTAGATTCGGGTTAAGTGTCAAAAATCGATGAATTATGTGACCGCTAAATCAATGTCTTGCAGACATGTCATATATTGATTTACTGCTGTATGGATTTTGAGAGCCCTGGACTCCTCGTCTTTCCCAAAGTGATCAGGGAAAATGCAGTGGGCTTTCAGGATGAAGGGGCAGATTGTTTGGTAGGGTATAAGAAAATGCTCTTTGTAGAAGAATGGCATGAGTTTGTTTATGTGCTGGCAGTGAAAATATCAAGGTAGTTGCTAAAAAATTCCTTTATATTTTTAAGAGGGAGCTGAATGTGAGGCTCATTTCCAAAATTCTTTAGAAGCTGAAAGTACAAAGTTTTAGGCATAGATTCAAGGTTGTCTTTCTTGCTTGTTTCATTTAAATCTTGAAATAACGCAGTTGCAATCCGTATCTGAAAATTATTTACTATGGAAGGCAGTGTCTCAGTCCTTGAAGAATGTATCTGCCCTCCACCTGAAGAGCTGTGGCTGTCATCAAGCAAAAATATACGAATAAGAAACCAAATATTAAAAAAATTGCAGAGAAAACATGGGGGTTTGTGTGCGTGCGTGTGTGGCGTATTTGTTTTATCTGCCTTTATTTAGATAGTTGCATAATTAATTGGCTCTCTGGTGCCTCAGAAGTCTTAATTGTACTTGAAATGGGAGCTTATTCATGAGGACGTCTTTGGAAGCTTTCTTCCTCAAGTGTCTTTATTTCCATGTGCCGCTCTCCAGATCTACACAGCGGTCTCGTACAATGGGTGGTCTCTGCTGGTGCCAGCTCCTCTAAATATCTTGATGGGACTCGGAAAAAAGATGATACCCCTTGGCTGTGGTGGAAGAGAGAGTGACGGAGCTGGGGCTGGCCATGATTTAGGCTACAGAACATTCTTCTGGGAGGCAATAAAGCCACATCCGTGCTTTGTAGGGTGAGGGAAGGTCTGTGCTGGTGGGGCACGGGGTTCTTCCAGCCCCAAAGGGGATGCTTGGAGTTGGGGAGGGGGTGTTTGGGGCAGAGCTGCTGAGCACATCCAAACCCTTCCATTTAATGATGGTTGGCATATCCCTTTTTTGGGAAAGAAGTGTGCATCTACCCCAGTTTTGCTGGCTGATGGGGCGGGAGGAGAGGTGGTCACTGTGCTCCCACCCAGCTGTCCCTTTTTGGTCCCTGAGGGGAGGGTGGCAGGGATGGTACCACCCCCTCTGAGCAGGTGTCAGAAGGGCCTGCCCCATCACCTCGGGCTGTTTTTTCCAACAATCTCTCCACTTATGCCCCGCTGTACCAGCTTTGTTAGGAAACAACGCTTCAGCCCCAGGAGTGGTACTAATAATGGTGGTGTAGAGGATAATTTCAATGACACCGTCTTGGCTCTGGCGCCTGGTTTCAGGGAAATGCATCCAAGCCACAATTCAGACCATTTTAGGACCAGAGACAAGTCGTTTAGCTGAAAACCAGCCGATGGGAGACTAAGGAAAATGCAGGGCTGAGCCTCCTGACCTTCGCCAACTCCCTTGGCTCATCCCTCCATGTGATACTGGCCCCTCTCTGGGGGAGATCAATTCTCAGGGCACGCATGTGTTTTGCCTGTCGTGCAAAGTTATTTAGTGCTTCCCTGGTCTATGTAAATCCTTCTTTTAGCAGCAAAGTGCCCTGCAGAGGCCTGAAGTCGCGGCAACAAACGCAAAAGTGTTTTTATGAGTTAATAGATGAGTGGGTAACGGGTACCAGAAGGATTATGGTGGAAGACTAAACTTCAGTCGTCTGCCTGAGACCTCAGAAAGGGGTATTATATAAATTTTAACTCCCCCCTTTTTCCCAACCCCTCCTCCCAAAGTGTGGCAAGATGTAACAGATATTTTTTGAGGCTTCAAGCCCCATCTACCCTTGTTCTCTGTTGCATTTGGGGATCAGGGGCCACGCTGACGTTGCTCTCCATCCCAAATGATGCTGCCACGTTCCCTCATCGCTACCCGTGCGCAGAGCTTGACGTGGAGTGATGGGTCCCAGGGCACCCAGCCTTGGTAAGGAAACTTAGCATTATCTGCCTTCAAAGAGCTTGCCTTAGAAAGAACAGAAATACTGCTAATTGAAATGGAAATTTTTTTTTTTTTTTTTTTTTAATTTCAATTGTCGGAAAGATTCGATAATGACTTTTTTTTTTTCTTTGTTAAAAATGGCATGCTACAAACTCGTCTTTGTTGGCAATTCGAGACCTTGTGCCCTCACTTAAGATTTCAAATCTTCAGGCGGCTTTGACAAAACTATGGAGAATCAGAGTTAACACTGCTGATTTGAGTAAGATAAAGAATTACACGTCACGCTAAACCTACTTTCCGCTCACTAATTTTTTAGCATAGGTAAAAAAGCCTTTCAGAACATCTCAATTTATAATAAATCTGGTTTTCCCTTCCCTTGTGGATCTCCATTAAGAAGATGTAATGCTCGTGCTGTCTTAGTGCCTGATGTAAAAGTCACTAAGGCCAGTGGAAGTATATCCAAGCATTGCCATAGACTGCGGTTTGAAAGGATCCTGTGCAAAGAGCATGTTTTATGGCTCTGCAGCACAAGTATCCTTTAGTTCCAATGGAAGCTTTACTGGCCCAAAATGAGGTGTTTTTATTAGTCTGTAGTCTGCATGTTGTTAATGAGAATGCACTTTAGCCTGTCTGTTAAATCTAAAAAGTATATCTTGACTGTGGTATGTAGCACTCAATAGGGAAAAAAGGATTCAGTAGCAGCAGCAGCAAAACCTGCATTTTTTGCATGGCAATGCTATTTATTTTCACTGAAGATAATCAGCTGTTTGATAGAAAGCTGGGGTGGCATCCACCTTTTGAAAGTGCTTTATTAAAGCCTTTTTTTTTTTTTTTTTTTTTTCTGAAAGGATCAGGCAGAGTGTGGAGAGCCAAGAACTAAACCCTGATGGCCCAGCTCTTCGAACACATGTGTCAGGAAAAGCAGTTCCAGTGGATCAGGAGCACTGCTTCCTTCAATTACACTGCTGAAGGCGACAGGCGTTTTCAGGACTGGCCCTTGGCATTTGGTTTGTTCTTGCAGTCCCGAGTATGAAAAAAAAATAATTTAGTGTGCCTTTTTGATTTTATTATGGAAATGAGATTGGACAGTCTTCATCTGGCACAAAAAGAGTGGCAAGATGCCTTGTTTCTCCTGATCTCTGCTCGTGTAAGTATAGAAATCTGAAATCAAGCCATGCACACTACTGCCAGTTGCTTTAAGGCCACCACAGTTGAGCCTTTAAATAAAAAACCTTTAAAAGAGTCATTATAATTATAGACAGCAGCCTTGTTATTTAATTACATCCCAGTGTAGCCTCTGCAACTCAAAAAGTTTACAGGCAGTCTAAGAACTGAGAACTTAAATGTATTTTAAAATGTGTACACTGTGGTGCTTCTGAATAATTCTTTGCTACTAGTCAGTGCCAGCTCAGAATTTCACACCCTTGAACAGATTGACTGGTTTGGCTTGTGTAATAGGTACCCTGCTATCCTGGACTAGTTGGTGGGTGGGTGGAGATGGGTGCTTTTGGAAATGCCAGTTGATAGCTAACCATAACAAGTCAGAGTTATGTGTGAGTTGAGAAGGTAGATAGATACATCTAGCTGGAGTAAAATGGATCTACTGAGATGCCTGGGAGGAACCATGGAAGTAGAAAGGATGCTTTGCAAATAAGCCAGGACCCAGTTTGAGACTGTTGGCAAGGTTTCTGGAGGGGCTTCTGGGGACCTAACCAGGCCATTAGGCTTTTAGGGAGCTGCAGGGATGCGTGAGCTGGTCGGCTGAATTTCACTGAATTTTTTCACTGAATTTTTTAGAGTTGGAAGGGACCATAGAGATCATCTAGTCCTGAACCTGCAGGGAAACCAGCCCTGCAGGGATGCTGCGTTGGGGGTCCACTCTCCATGACAGTATCAAATGACCTGCCATCCTTTTGCTTTCTAAACGGAAAAAAAAAGGGACATGGGAAGTCTAGAAAAGGGAGAATTTTAATTCAAAGACTCCATGTAACATCCCCCATCATTCCCAGTGATGTAAGCTACTGAGAAAAGGCTACCCTTTTTGAATCAGTTGTGCATACCATAACTCATTGAATAAAACTTGGTAGATTTTTGTCTTTCCATTTGGACTAGTATCTTGCATTATTCAAGGGCCAACTTAGTTGAGATTTCGGGATTGTTTTTTGTTCTTTTCTTTCCAAAAAAGACGTCAAAAGCAAATTACATTAATATTTCATTAATTCTTGCACTGGAACACACTGTTAGTGGTGCTGTCTTGTTGTGAGCAGCATATTTACCTGGGAGTCGCTGCAATATTTAAAGACTTAAAGACGAGCTTCCCTGTTAGCTCAATGAGCTGACTTCTGTCCAAGTCACCTTGGCCCAAACAGGTCTGGTTCAGAAAGGTCTGCAGTCCTCCCAGGTCTGGGGAGCACACACTGCATGAATCATAGAATCATAGAATGGTTTGGGTTGGAAGGGACCTTCAAAATCATCCAGTTCCAACCCCCCTGCCCTGGGCAGGGACACCTCCCACTAGAGCAGGTTGCTCAAAGCCCCATCCAGCCTGGCCTTGGACACCTCCAGGGATGGGGCAGCCACAACTTTTCTGGGGAACCTGGGCCAGGCTCTCACCACCCTCGTAGTAAAGAATTTCTTTCTGGTACCTAATCTAAATCTCCCCTCTTCCAATTTAAAACCATTACCCCTTGTCCTGTCACTGCACTTCCTGACAAAGAGTCCCTCCCCAGCTCCCCTGTAGCTCCCTTCAGATATTGGAAGGCTGCTACGAGGTCTTCCCAGAGCCTTCTCTTCTCCAGGCTGAACAACCCCAAGTCTCTCAGCCTGTCTTCATAGGAGAGGTGCTCCATCCCTCTGATCATCTTCATGGTCCTCCACTGGACCTGTTCCAACAGATCCATGTCCTTCCTGTGTTGAGGACTCCAAAGCTGAGACCCCGTGGGGCACCCCTGGCAGCGTGGTGGTGCATTCCTTGGGTTCTCAAGGCCCCTAGGAGGTGTTTTGAGGCAGCTCTTGTTCCTGCGGTGGTGACCTGTTGCGGGGAGTCCAGCCACTGTGTAAACACAAAGGACTTGCAGACTCCCCCTGTGCCGCCTTCCAGAGCGAGTGGTCATTTGTTCCAGTTTCCCATGACCACACCGCTGCCTGGGTTTGCTGTTCAGAAGAAAAAAATACATCAATTTGCAGCGTTAGTGCCAGACAGGGAAGAGGGGTTGGAAATACGGGCTCCATTAGTACATATTATTAAACGTGCCAAGAGGATAATGTTACCTTATCCCTGGTTTCAGCACTTTAAAATGCTCTCCTTATTAAAATAAAAAATGTTCAAACATTCGAACTTGTGTAGCCAAAATCCAACTTAGGAAATACATTATTTAGCTATTAGCAAGATGATCTGACTTCTAAACTCCATCCGCGATACCAATTTCTCCACTGGTGCCATTCAAAATCATTTATTTTTCATTGCATTCATAACTCTACCCAGAAAGAGAGAGGAAAAGCAGTATCAGAGAGTAATTTACATTACGCCGGATTTTACTGCAGCTTGGCATCGTGAATGAATCTTTGGAATACTTGAGGAGTACATAAGGAAAAAGTCAGTTTCCTAATTTGCTGAAGAAAATATTCCGACACGGTGATCAGTGAGGTAACCAAAAAAATGGGGGCTTAAAAAACATTCTGGGCGATTGCTGTTTCAGCTGTCCCGATCCACAAGCTGGTCTTAAAACAGACTGGTAGTGAAAAAAAACCAACAAAAAAACCACAGCCTTTTTCTACCTGAGAATATTAACTCTCACAGGGTGGATGTTAGGCAGAATTAGTGTGGACGTTTCCAGCCGTATGCGTTAGTACAGCTTTTGTTTGCAGGATGGGGGATTTGCATTTAGTAGCGTGCAGCAGTAAAACAGAGACTGATTTGACATCTTTTAATACACATGTAAATACAAGGCAGCTACTCTGAAGTTAGTGAGGTTTCTTCAGATTTATATCACCGCTGCTAAAAATAGAATCGGGCAGTCTATTTTTAGATAACCCAGAGCTGTTACACGTTGAAACCTTGCAACTGTGTTACCTACTCTGGTGTCTTCATGAGAAAGCTCGAGCGTGTTTGAAAATACACCGCTTATTTTAATACCTCTTGGAAACCTTCTTTACTTGCAAATATGCCACAGCCTTCAGGAGTCTTCTGTCTGCTGCCGTCTCTAATTGCTGGTGGATGAAGGTCCTTCCTCTCTGCAGAAACCCGTGTTTATGCCACAGAAATTATTTTTTCAGACAACGCTTGAAGAGCACCTAAATATTTAATATCGCTCGGGTTTTTTTTTTTTTTTTTTAGCCGATGGGAGATGTGTTGGTTTTACTGATTCTCTTTTGTCCCCAGCTGCCTCGAAAGACGGGCAAAAATCATCATTCCTCAGCCAGAACGAGGAAAGCCAGAAGTGCTAGCAACAAAGCCGATGGAAATATGTTTCCCCTTTCAATAGCCTGCCTGGTACAGCAAGAAGAAAGGAGTGAGTGATGCTAAAGGGAAGGGAACGCCCCTGTTCACGGGGGGGATCCCACCAGCCTGAATCCCTCCGGGTGTACCCAGACAGAGCCGGCGGTCAGGGCAGCCAAGCTTCCCAGGCCCAGCAATTAAGTATAAAAAGCCCGTCTTTATCCAAACGGGGCTGTCTGTATTTTGGAAATTTCCACCACACTTCCTTCTGGAGAAGTCCTGCTTTTCTTAAAGCGCACAGCAGTGCTGATGCTGGGGTGGTGGTGGCGGCCGTAAAGTCATCCATGCTGAAGAACTAGGGCAATCTATTAAGTCAACATGAGTGATCCATGTCACTATCAATTTGTTTGCTGTTTTTCACAGTGGGTTGGGGTTTTTTTAAATTATTTTATTTTATTTTATTTTACTTTATTTTATTTTATCTTATTTTATCGTATTTTATTTATTATTATTTTTTTTTAAATTCCTCCGAATTTTCCATTGTCTGCCGGAGATCAGCTGTTGCCAGTGAAAGTCTGACACGGATGACAGTGGCCGTGGGTGGCACAGGCAGCATTTGGTGTTACCCCGGTGTTACTGGTAACCTGAGAAGACTTTGAGCTTTTAAGACGTTGGTGCCTTTCGTTGGGGCTTTGGTCAGACATTCCTGGGATAGCGGGGAAGCTCCAGTGCTGGTCCTGGAAATGGGGTGGGCAGTCAGGGGGAGAAGGGAAAAAGGGGAAGGAAAAAATGAAAAAAAAAAAGAAAAGTTGACTGAAAGCCAGTGGAATGCTACGAAATCGGCAGCACCACCATCACCAGTTTTTCAGAAATCGTGATCCATATCCTCAAAAGTGATCTTGGCTTCAGAATAAAAAAAAACCCAACAACGGCCAAACAAAAAAAAGAGAGAGAAACTCTATCACCTGCAAGCCTCAGCCAGGAATGTCAGTGTTTCATTCCATCCGTTCGACATTTTTTTCATTTGACTTCTGGCTTTTCACTTGTTAGGAGTCAATCTTTTTTCGATAGTTATAAGGAACTGAGACCTAAAAATACTGGATCTAATTGCCTGAGAAAAAGAGTGAGGATTTTACAGAAACCACCAAATATCCTGTGACTGGTGATAAAATTGCAAGTGCTGGCAATACTGATCAGCATAGGCTGATTATTGTATTAACTCAGTTAAAATAATTCAATAAATTGAGTATTTTGTTTTCTTTGATCAGTGTTGTATATGATTGGAAGGAAAATTTTTTATCCTCGGTGTGGATCTCAGCCAAAGTTGTGATTAACAGCTCCTTGTATCGTTCAAGCACTGAACAGAGGGAAATATTGAGTGTTAAAATGTATCCGACCTTCTACAGATGAAATGAAAGAGGCAGAAAAAATATAATTCTATTACCTAGAGCAGAATAAAACTAAACTACTCAGTGTGTGTGGTATCTTTTATGTGGTATCTATTACAAAATTGGAATTTTGAAATGTTTTATGCAGATGCTTGTCTTTTTGTATCCTAAAGTAATTACATTAAAACCACCTAAACTTTAATATGTTGGGGGACATCTTGCAAAACCTGAGGGTTTCAAGAGACCTCAGAGCAGGCCATCAGGCATATGAGGCAAGGGAGGCCTCCGACACACGTGCCAAAAAAGGTGCTTTGGAAGACATAAGCTTAATATGTGGGATTTTAAAACAGTATTTTCAGACATTATTTTTTTTGTGTGCTTCCTACATCTTAAAAAAGGAAATAAAATGGGAGGAAATGAAACAAAGTCAAATGGGCACTTCTTGGAAATTCGTGTGGAGGTAGAGCTCGTTCTCACAGCCCATATCCCGGCTGAAGTACGTTTCCCTCCTTTCAATGCAGACCTAGTGAAGACACTGCCTAGCAAATATGCAGGAAAAATAAAAATTGAAACAATTCCTGCTGTTATGAACATGATAATGAACATTGTGAGAGTCCATCGTACTTGCGCGTCTTAATCAGCAACATAGACACATTGATGGGTGGGCATAAGAAGACATGTCACCCCCTCTCACAAGGGGACATGAGATGGGATGCAAGGGGTTTTGCTCACAGTCTGCTCTTGATGTATGGTGTGTTGTGGTGACGTCATTGTTCAAAAAAATCCAGAAAAAAAGCTGGAAAAAGCTGATTCCTGCCTCTTTGAAAACAAGTCTGCCTGCTGCCATGGCTCAGTTAATCCGTTGGGGCAATCCCTGTGTGTCCTACTGAAATGGACCTTACCAGAGAGCCAGGTCATGCACATCCACCTTCTCTATTCCTCTTCCACTCCTTTGCTCCACCCGCAGAGATACCCATTACCCCAAAATCAAACCTCCCAAGTGTGGTTAAGAAAGAGGCAAGGCACAGGCACCAATCAAACACACGCTCTGTAACCCCGTTATGTTAGGGGGGACCAACGTGTTAGTCTAAATATTGTCTTAATAAAGCTTCCAAGAAGTCTGAAAAAGAAAGCAGTTGGTTACTTTCAGCTAATCTCTTCCACCACGTGGCAGTTGTCCTTCTGGCAGTTTAGGGGAGCCCTGCTCAGCACCCCAGGGGGTGGCCCCCGCAGCGCCCTTGGTTTTGCCTTCGTACTTGCACTGATGACCCTCGTTGGGTTGACCCTGAATCTCCCAGCACAGCTTGTTTCTGGAGGACACACTGGCAGAAGAAATAGCTAGTGAGGAGATAGGGGTGTGAAATAGTGAATAGAGAAAGCAGATGAACCAGTGAATAGAGAAACTTGGATAGAAATGTAGCCAAAAATTAGCTCACTAGGGAGATTGCTCTCCCGGGTGATACCCTCAACCCATGGGTGGGAAGAAGGGAGGGACAGCAGTTGTGGCAGCTCTGGACCAATGGCCAAACGCTCCTGATGTCTCCCAGAGGCACAAGGCATGGGCTACATCCCTCCACTGCTGCCTGGGCAAGAGTGGGGTGTCTGGTTCAGACCCAGCTCCTGGAACCCCCAAAAACCCTTGGCCTGCCACAGTGGCTAAAAGCAGCGAACACCAAATATATCCCAAAGGATGCAGAAGACAATTCAGACTTGTAGCAGTAGCTCTACTCATTTTAATAATTCTACGGTGTGTCGTTTGCACAGCACTGCCCTGAAGAAATGTAGCAGTTCTCGCTGTTTTTTGCAGTCAGGTCTCCGAAGCCCTGCTAGTTTTCTAGACAACTTGCAGCTAGCTACTGTGAAAAACAACACCTTCTTTTCCTATTTTCCAGTGGTTTGGGATATGACAAAAAAACCCAACCAACCAAACACACCCCCAAAAACAACAAAAAAAAGCAACAAAAAACATACTGCTAGTAACTGTGACCTACAACTGGAGCTGGTGCCAGAAGCTGAAACCATGATTTCTTTAAGTTATGGAATGCTTCGCATAGCCTAGTCCCACAGCAGTGACCCTACTGGGTCTTTTCTGAACACGTTAAAAAAAAAATAATAAGAGGGGGAAAAAGAAGGGGAAGAAAACCAATGCTTTAAGCATCAAATTACTAAATAATAGAAATGGTATTTTCTGACTTAGATGTTTAAGAAAGGTTCATGAAAGAGATGAATATTAAGCCAAACATTTGTTTGGCTTTGCTGCAGCCGGCTGCAGGAATGTAAACTTTTTTTTCAATGACTTCAGCTCCTAATTTAAAAGCTAGGATTTTTAGCAGTGAGCAAGAGACTATATTTGGCCAAAAAATTCTGCTGGCTTTACTTAGTTACCCGGCACATTCAAAACAATACTCCTTTATCAAAAAACAATAGTGTGTTTTATTCACAGCACATGTAGAAGTTGGACCATCCACTGAATTCCACTTTCTTCTCTTGCAATATGTCTGTTGCTGGCTAATGAGCTGCGACAGTGCCTGTGCTTCATTTTCAGCAAATTAAATTTATGCCTCGCAGGAATTGTGGTCTGGTCGTGGCACTGCTCCTAGGTATGGGTGGGGTTTGTTTCTTCAACCAGCGCTTGGTTAGCCACATGGGTACGTGCTGTCGCACCACACAACAAAATCTTCTCTATAATGACTGGTTTAAGTAGCCATCCACCCCACGAAAGTGGATCCCATTTAATTTACTTTGTGTTTACAGCGCTCCCTTTCAAACTGTATTGTTGGCACAGATGGGTATTTATACAACTTTTATTTTAAACTATTTATTTAGAGTTGGGACTTCAGTAACACTCGCTGTCAGATTTATGGTGCGTGTTTAAAACCGAGGTTCTAAAAATGTAATATTTCAAAGAGGAGGAAGCAGACAATGAACTTATACACTCGGGAGTCTATTCTTTCTCTGGATGTGATGGGAGGTGTGCACGCTGCTGGGGAAGGAGTCGGCCCCACGAAGCAGAGCGTTTACATCCGTGTTTATACAATTGAGCTTGATCAAAAACCATCGAGATCCTGTGCGGTCTCCAGGCTCAACGTAAAACCAACAGGCTGCTGAAGGAAAGTAGATTTTGAATGGCAGATTGCCCCCCTCGGCAGGGGCAGGTCTTGATGCGATACTCCTTTGCCCAAGGTTAGGCTCAGATCTGGTGTTGCTTTGGAAGGGAAATGAAGAAAAGAAGGTGCACACAAACCAAAAAAAACAAAAAAGAAAGAAAGAAAATGGCTCTAGGTCAGCCTCTGAAAACAGGGTTAATACAAAAATGGCTTTCAAAAAAAAAATCCTCTTTCTTCAAACCAGCAGGAGAAAGCCATCTTCCACTTTCAGGTAAGAGCTTTCAGGCTGGTTGTAGGGCAGGGGGCAGCATTATTTGGTCAATAAATGAAAAAATTCTTCATGAAAATGGATATTATGAGCTGAGCATTTGCTCTTGGCACCCCAGTTCTCTGTGGCTAGCGGAAGAATGGCAAAGTGTATGGGGCACAGATAATATTTTATGTCTACAGGAACAAAACTTACCTTTAATGAAGGCAAAACTTGGCCTAAAAAGTTTGGTTCATCTTTTTCACAAACCTATATAGTTTTTCTTGTCTTGTTCCCTGCGAAGGTATGACCTCAAAGCTTTAGTTTAGAAAGTCACTGGTATATACAACTCAGCAGTCCTTACAATAATTAAATAATGTGGAAAAAGAATGAAGGAAAAATCCTTGTTAAGGATTTGATTTTTCAGGCTTCTTGCAAGTTACAATAACAACCATAAAATCACTTGGCAAACTCTTGCCCCTCCCTTTCTCCTGAGATTCCAAAATTAAAACTTCAGTTTTTACAACATCCCTGTGAAATAACATGGAAACAGGTGAAATGACATAACCACTCTTTCCTCAGGAATTCAGTGGAGGAAATCAACAGTAGATTTCAGCACTCTTGACTCTCCATCCCGTGCTGTAATTTCTAGGGCTCTAGTCTTTACAGAGCTTGTACTCTTAATGGTATTTACTACATGAAGTTTTGCATAAGATTATTTGTAGTGTGAGAACACTTGAAAACTTGAGGAAAAGCTGGAAGGAGCCATGTCAACCTCTCCTCTCTCTTCTCTGGTACTAAGTGTGAAGGAATGTTTAAATAAAACAATAAAAAGTGATAGAAAATAAATATGTACATGCCAATATATATGTGAGTGTGTGTGTATATATGCATAAAAGACTCTTAGACTTGAAACCTCACAATAATCCCCACTGTATAACTCCATTATGTTCTCCACGTTCAGAGAGATATCTTTGTTGCCTTCTCTTTATGGAAAGGAATAGAAAGTGGACACAAAAAAAGTGTAACTGGTCAAAACTGCCCTTTCAAAGGGCCCAGTATTTTTGGCCAGTGAGCAGAAATGGTGAGTGAGCTTGGGACATGCAGCTTGATCTTTATAGCACAGTCTGTGGAGTGGGACGGTCACACAGATGGGCGTCAGTGTTTCTGAACCCTGAGAAACACTTTGTAAATCAAGAACAGTGTTTTATCCCCGCCGAGGGCAGATGGAGGGCTGGAGCAGGGGTGCCCAGAGATCTGGTGGGACACGGTGTGACCTACTGCCCTCAGACACCCCAACAACCGCATCCCTTTCCCGGGGACGTGGTGGGGAGAATCGGTGAATTTTTGCTCATGGGGAATAGAATTACACAATTACAAACGGCAGCACAGCACTCCTACTGAAAAGCTAGTGAAGGGAAAACATAATGAAATAATTCATAATTCATAATAAGATTATAATACTAATGGTGGTAATATAATCATTTGATAATTGATCTATATAGGACTTTTCATTACTTGTTTCCTAGGTCTCTGCAGAGGAGGAAAGTAATACTGCACTAACCACATAATCAGATGTCTTTCAGGAGTTATTTACAGGACGTTCCTGCCTCAGAACGAGTGCTGTTACGGAGTCACGTAGTTAATTTTTGTTTCCATGAGAAACACGTCTGAGCACAGAAAGCCTCTGCAGTGAGGCGCAAAGCCTTATTGCGATTATTTCATCGTCATTC